AAAGGCTTAGAGACCAGAGAGAGCTCAGTGTGGAGCTGGTGGAACCTTTAAGAGGTGGGGTCTAATGGGAGGAAGTTAGGCCATTGGAGGCGTGTCCATAAGGGGGTTGTAGGACCCACCCCTTCCTGCCTCTCTCTGCTTCCCGCCTGCCATCAGGCGAGCTCTCTCCTCCACATGGCCCACCATGAGGTTTTGTGCTGCTGCAGTCTCAGAGCAACAGGCCCAAGTGACCATGGACTAAAACTTCTGAGACCGTGAGCACAAATAAACCTTTCCTTCTTATAATTTGTTTTTCTTAGTTATTTCGTTACTGCAGTGGAAATGTAAACAACACACATGATAATTAAAAAATGCAATGGATTCTCTTTCACCGGATGCCCAAAACAGAGGGAGGTTTATTTTGAGGTGGGAAAATACTATTCCTTTATGAAGTGACTAATTGATTGACTTATTTTTTATAATCAAATTGATCCATAATTTTAAAGAAAATTTCAAAATTTAAAACATAGAAGAAAAATGTAAAAATTACTCAAAATTTCTCCATCCAAACATGCCCCTACCTAACATTGTTTCAGTCTTTCTGTAAAATAGCTTTTAAAGACTTACAAGTTTAATAGTGCTATAAAGCTAATGTTGTATCCTGAATTTTCCTGTAATAATTTTAACACCAGTATTTATGTATTATTATAGGAAAATTTTATTAGCTCACCAATGTAAGGATCCATCAAAGTTCATAATTCCTGTAGTGTTGATATTTGTGTTTCTAATTCTTCACTATTACAAAAACAATGCAAAGAATATCTTATTTTGCAAGGATTGTCTTGTTTTTCTTCTTTTTTCTCCCTTCTCTTCCTTCTCTCTTCTCTCTACTTTTCATTGTGTTTGGATTTTTCTTTGTGATGAATTCTGAGGAGTAAACTACTGAGCCCAAACTGTGGAGATTTTAAGGCCCTAGACACACATGGCTAGGTGTTATTTTTTACCAAGGTACTCCGCATAACATCGTGAGATTTCTTTAACATTCCAGCTTCATAACCATGGGGACAGCATATAGTCATTCATTCATTCATCCACCAGCATCTATGGAGCACCTGCTTCCTGCCAGGACTTGCTGATATGTATCTGAAGATATAATACTGGATCTTGCCAGCTGTGAGTCTGAAGTTGCAATGAGCCCAAAAAGTGCCTTGTTTCAGTTTTTAACTTTTCACTAGGCGCTGGCCTTCAGAAGTCTCCTTGGCGGTCCCTGGCTCCCCAGGGAAGGTATCCAGGGGTCCAGTATTTCTAGGATCTCCGTCCTGATGTTCTCCAGCACCCAGATGAGAGGGACAAAAGCAGCACGTGCTCATTGTCTGAGCTTCTTGGAGCAAACACTTAAGTGTCCAACCGAGCATTAAGCACTCTACCTCCTCCCACCACTTCTCTCCGACAAAGCTTTTATACAGAGCACGAGCGCCCATAAATAACAGACCGGCCTATAAATAAATACAGCTGGGAGCCCACAAAAGCTGACAAATGCTGTTTATTTAATTTCTCAAGTGTGGTCCATTTGGGATCCAATGGGAAGGGCCTGCTAAGCTTTTAAAAGGGCAGCTTATATGCTTAATCTTGATTTTCCTTTGGAGGGGCCATCCTGCCATCTCCCTGACACCTGCCTCCTTCCCTAAAGCAGCAGGGCCGTCTGTGAAGGCAGGGGTGTGAGACAAAGAAGCGTTTCTCAGGCCCTTCCCCACGAGAGGCCCTCGACCCTGGATGAGGCACGGCCACACCATCCTTTGTAGTGTGGCTCCCATCCACCTGGAAGGACTGGCCTCATTATTTGTGTGCCAGGTGGGCTGCTCTGAATCCTCCTTCACTGCTCCCTGAGGGGTGAATGGAAGAGCAGCAAGAGCAGTGTGGAGTCAGTGTGGGCCTTGTTCTATGAGATGTCTGGGTCACCAGTTATTTCAGAACTGAGCCAAGAGGGCCACACATTACAGAGGGAGGACATGTTGTCACAAACATCTACAGGGCCATATTCTTTCCCAGCTCCTTCCTGCCCCAGGGTCTTTGCACATGCTCTTCCTTTTGCTTGACATGCTCTTTCCCACATTTTTATCTCACTCTTTCTCGTCCTTCAAACTGCAACTGCAAGCTGCTTCTGGGAAGATTTCCCCTCCTGATAATAAGGGACACAGACCACCAGGACCTTGATGTACAGCTACGCAGTACCTGTCTTTTGTCATTCTGTTCAGCATTTTGATGAAATTATCCAGGGTGCAATTATTGGCTGATTGCCTGTCTCACTTAATCCAGTATTGCTTCTTCCTGGCAACGCCCCAGATTGGAGCCATCTCCTCCCACCTGAGCTATGGTCATAGCACCCTCCAGCCCCCGAGCAGTCCACAGGCTGTGCCTGTCATAGCAGTCAGAGAGTCACAGAGGTCACAGCGTGCATCTCCCCTGCTCAATCCCTGCTCACGCTGTTGCAGCCACTCTGGTCTCTCTTGGCCTTTAGAAGGATCCAAGCTCTCTCTTGCCCTTCTCTCAAATAGCTGGGGCTCCCTCCTTTATTCTCCATCTGTCCACAGGGGTTCCTTCACCCCGGCCCAGGGAGGATCTCCCACATGCCTGGCTCCAGGTCATCTACAGCGTCTGTGCGCATGTCACACAGTGGGTGTTTAATCAGCTCAGCGTTACTCTCCTACCAAGCGCCAAGGTTCCACGATGGAAGAGCCTTGGGATTCTCTACTGCTCAGTGCCCAGGCTCTGGCACAAAGAAGGAACTTCCTTAACACATTTGGCATAAATAAATGCCCTACTGTGGCTGAAGCAAAGCATTGCACGGTTTTGGCCAAACTACTATGCCAGGCAAGTTCCCACAGCGGGGCTGCTGGGTTTCTACAGAGCTTATCAGCAGAGGTCTGGCTGCCTTGTTTTTGTTTCCAGGCATGGGAAAAGATGCCACAACAGAGGTCTCAGAGCCTCCTAGTACCATCTCGTGGGGGCGGGGATGCCCTTGCCAAGAAAGCACAAGCACTCCAGGGCATATAGAGTTCAGATGCTCCCATTTTCACATCCCACCTTGGCTATGTGCTATGCTTTTTAAAATGACCTTCTTGGGGCAAATCACTTCACCTCTAAGTTTTATTTTCCTTAAAATTAATACTATCTGTAGGATCTATTTGCTTTTTAGATTTTATCTGGTTTCCTGCTTCCCCTCACCTATTGGGCTCCAGCCACACTGGTTTCTCTAGTTCTTGAAAGAATCCTGCCCCAGGACCCTTGCACCAGCTCTTCTTGTTGCTACAGTGTTCTGCTCCCAATCATGTGTACTGATTCCTTCTCATCTTTCAAATAGGATGAGAAATGTCAAGTGTTACTACCTTGGAGAGGTAAAAAATTACACACAGCTACCCATTAGGCAGCTAATTTGCTATATTTTTCGTATAGCATGTAATACCATTGAAAAGTATCTGACATATGTATGTATCTACCTATGTACTATTTGTCTCTTATTCTCCACTAGCTATTACATTCCAGATGAGTAGGATCTTTTGTTTACTGCTTATTTTCTTAGCACCTAGGATGGTGCCTGGCATATAGTAAATGCTCAATAAATATTTATTGGAAGAATGGATAATGGTTTGTTATAAGGAAGAGATGGATTGTGGTGTAATAATTGCAAAATGACTCTGATTCTCCATCCTTTCTGTACCTTTTGCAGTAATAATCCATAGCTCCTTCCATTAAAAAGGTGGACACGATTGTCCTACCACTGAATTACCCTAAGCCGTAAAATGTAACCCCATGCCCATGCCAAGTCTGGACCACAAGAGGCATTGTGTGCATCTAATCTATCTCATGGAACCTTGACTTCTCTGTGCAACACACAGGGCTGAGTTACCCCGCTACCTAACAAGCTGGCAAAAACCAGACATGTGAGTGAGACCAGGCTGCACAACTTACCAGCTGGACACAGACACATGAGAGTATTCTACTGCAGTCAGGTGGGCTTGGCCCACATCCACAGCACCAATCAGCTGAGACAGAGACTTGCAAAAAGTGACTGAGTTTGGGGCAGTTTGTTATGCAGCCATAGCTACCTGATACACAGAATATGCACAAACATATGCACACTCATATCCAGCTTGGTGCATCACAGTGCTTGAGAAATATTAGCTATATATGGTGTGGTTTGCATGTGTTATTTGGTGGTAGAAGGAGATTTTACTATCTGGACAATCATAAGCATAACCATGATCACGGTTAGCCGTATGGTGACCAGGAGATGTGACCAGATTTCTGCTAATAGCAAATCTCTCTCAAGCTTTGCACTTGGTTCTTTGACCTCAGGGTCAGAAGAGCATGGGAGAGCCTTCTGCTGACCTGGCTCTCATTGGACCTGAATAATACATGCATTTGCCTTGCTTCTATGATGGTTTTAGGCCTCTGATTTATGGTGATGAACGTGCCCCTCTGTTTGCGCTGGCTTTTGTTAATGACCTCTCATGAATTATCCACGAAAGAAATGTTAAACGAGCTAATTAGGCATTAACCTTACATTACAGATCAACCACACAATCAGATCCTTCGCAGCTCTGCATGCGACAACATAGGCATTAAGTATTGATGGTCCCAGGCAGGGCCGAGAGAACGGAGGGAGAAAAGAAAAAAGTGGGAAAGGAAGCAGTGAAGGCGCCTCCTCGTGAGCCTGCTGGTAGGAGGAGAAACTAGCAGTGAGACGGTCTGAGGTCAGCTCATAAAACCGGAAGTGATAGCAACGCTGCACCCCAGGTGCAGGGAGCCAAGGTGACACTATACTGTAAAGGTCTGCCATGTTCTTGAAATACATTCTGGATCTTCTCTTTCCTTTAGGAAAATGTGCCTTTTGTGCTTAGAATTAAGAAGTGTCTACCTTTCCCCTCCCTGCGTCACCCTGTGCCCTAGTCACTTTTGTGTTGCTGAGGCACAGTACTGCACGCCCGCAATATGGGAAGGAGAGGTTGATTTTGGCTCACCTTTCAGTCCATCGCCTGCTGGTCCAGGGCAGGGTGGCACGGCACAGGACAGCTGCTTAGTGCCTGGTGGACAGGAAGCGGGGAGAGGGAAGGGAGGAGCTGGGAGGGAGATGAACCCAAGCCACGCCCCCAGGGGCCGCCTCCTCCGACCAGACCCCACCTCCTAACGGCAAGTCAGCTAAAAGCCCGCATGATGCAGCCAGCTTCCCAAAGCCCCACCTATGATCCCATCAGGCTTTAGGGGTGGGGGGAGCTCCATCCACACCGTAATATTCTGTAAAGGCAGGCCACGTCACCTTCCTGGACAAATTAGCTAAGTCAAGGAGGATCAAACCCTTCTAGTAAGTAGCTAGGTGATCTTAGACTACATAGAGCAGTAGTAAATAGGTAAATAGATGAATGAACAATATGTTGATAAATTGATGCATTGACAAATACTACACACACACACACATATATATGTATATTACTGTTTACAGAATACTTTCTTATCTATCACTTAATTTTATCCACAGAACACACCAGAAATATGGTTAGTAATAGCTTCATTTTCTCCATTTAAAAGATAGGGAACTCATAGATGATTTGTTCAGGGGTGGTACCAGGGGACGAGAGAGCTGGTCTTTAATTCCAACCCCGACTCTACTTTTACGTCACTTGGCTTTGCCCGCTCATTTCTCTTTTCTGAGGCACAGTCCTCATGTACATAATGGGGGATGTGGAGGGCACTCACATTTCCTGTTAATGGAAACTGACCTGGGCCAGGTCCTGGTCATGTAGGCAGCCATGTTGTAGATCACATGACCCCATGCCTCTCATTCACCTATGCTGTAGCTGATTGGGCGAGGTGGGCACCTGATCAAAGGCAGCCAATCACGAGGGTTCCCGTGAGCAAAGGAAAGACTATGTCAATTAGATTCTCTCTGTGGACGTGAACTCAGTGGACCCAGGTGTGTGCAAGAGCAAGTGGCTGAGGTGGGACTGGGCTACACAGAGGCATGCGTGTGGGGAAATGATGAACTTGAAAGTGGGGAAGCTGCTAGGGTCAGAACAAAGAAAGTGGAAGTAAGTGTGGGGAGGGAGGGAGGAAGGAAGGGGCAGTGTGGGCTGGGGCAGGGTAGGAGGAAAAGGAATTGGAGAAAGAATGGAGGAAGAGAGGGACAGACAGAAAAGGATGGATGGGAGAAGACCCACGGGGGCCAAGAAGTTGCTCTGGATGCTAGGGTACTCTGGTCTCACCCCTGGCCACATGGACTGTCTCTGCTTTTGTTTTGAGCTAGTTGGAGGGAACTTGATTTTTTTCACTCTTTCTCT